ATATGCTGGGGTCATCGTCGTTTACAATCTGATTCACATCTTCACATACAACATTTAGCAGCGATACAAGTTAGTATTCCTGTATATCATGTATATACACGTTACCAGACAGACCATTATGCCGCGTGTCTTCCTTCGGTTCCACCCCAGCTTTCCCCGGTTGACCCACACTGCTTCTAGACTGATTAGATTCTTTGTCTTCCTCAACTTGGTCACCGGGTTGGTTGTCGGCTTCGGAATGATCCGACGCATTGCTGCACAATTCGGTTTCTTCAAAGTCTGGATCCAAGTTTCTTTGACTAATTGGAGAGTGTTCAACACAATAAGACGCCACATACAAAATTACTTCAGTCCCAACGTGTATCATACCAGATATTACCTCCTGAGCTTCCGATGATATGCTCACTATTGCCGCTCGGAGAAAGAGCTGTGGCATGCGGTGAATCAGCTTGTAGTGGGCTCTTTGGTGGGTGTAGCAAGATCCAGTGGTGTACCGGAAGGCGATGATGGGGTCTTGTGTGACGGACTTCCGGTACATAGACGAACTAGGGTGGTCTCGAGAAGTTGTTGTTGACCCGGTGCAGGTGAATGTAACGAGGGACTGCGATCGGATGAAGAATAATTTGAATCTAATTTTCAACATACACGATTAGCAAAATGTAAACGTGTATCATACAGCTCACAGTACACGTACGCTTCGCTGTCACAGGTTTGGCAGCTTTCGCAGCGCTTCGACGTCCGACAGCGTTCGCAGATCCATCACGTCTTGCCTACTTCTTTGCTCGACGAGCCGCTGCTCACATAACACAGTCAGTACAGATCAAATACATCCAACAGAATATTCAGAGCAACTTAGGTCAATCTTGTCCAGGTACTTCATCAGGGCCTCCTCGTCAATAAACACGTCCTCTCCTTCGACATCCTTGATCGTCTTTCCAGGCTTTAGGTAGATAAAGTCGACGGAAAGGCCTGATGGCTTCTTTGAGGTTCAGCTATCCTTTTTTCATTTCACGCCATCGCGCCCGGAATGCCAATTTGGGAATGTGGGGTTCTTAGCTTGAGAGGGGAAATCCAGAAGTGAGCCGCAAATTTGTGCGGTGGCAGATGTCTACCTATGAACAATCATATGTAATTTGCTGGTTTGATCTGCACGCACTTTCTATCTGTATCTTCTATGTTGGTGTGTAGTATCTGTTGGGAAAGCATGGAATCATCACCTACCCCTATTTGAGTTGGAGTTTGTAAAGACCTATTCAAAAAACAAATGTAATATTTCTAAGCTTGTATAAGAAAACAGGCCTTATCTTATATGGCCCAGACTCTCGGGTTCAAGGGCCTAATATAGAGTTGGCTTGACCGGATATGTGCACTGACCGGAAACATGCTTCAGACGGATTCCTTAGAAACACGCCTGGGTCCAAAACATGGTTTTCCCTCAAAGAAAACAGTTTTAACCAATTCGTTTCCAGTATTTGGACGTTTTTTGCCCATTCAACTCACGCTTTTTTGCATCTTTTCTGTACCATTTCGTAAGTTTTTGTACTTTGTGTTCAAACTTTGAGCTGAAACTATAATACCATTTCAACCGATCAATATTATGGGCGGGTATTCCTGTCGCGCATAATACTTTTATTTTATATGAAGGGTACTGTTCTAACACCGGGCGGATTTCACTGTTGCTGTCTGTATCCGCTATAAAAATATTGCAATTAAAAAGAGAGATTGCATGTTTGTTAGATATTGCAATTGTACCCTATTGGAGTGGAATATGCAATTCTTAACTGCAACACTGATTTGTAGGAATTGTTGCTATCCTGCGTGTGTGTCTCTGATGGCCTTAGCTACAAGTTTTGAATCCCAGAAATCTCGGCTCGTCTTCAGGAACATGATCCTTTCTATCCTAGTAGCGAAGAAGTCGTTGCGCGAGAACGGTGAGTATGAATGGCGTAACACCTGGTTTTTGTATTTCAAAGGAGCATATTGGAGTAGATGCCGCGAGATGCTATGCTGGCTGCTCTGCCAACACTATCTGCTTAATTTGACCGTGCTAAAGAAGCGATGGCTGTCAAGCTACAAGTGACGTTGAAGTGAAATACTGTATTGCAATTTAAATTGAAATGCCCGATTGCATGATCCGCCGATTGCAATTCAATGCACCATACAATCCGGATTGAGTGAGACATACTGATTAAGTGCTACACTCGTAAATTGTAAAAAAAAGGGCAGCTTACAAAAATCCATGATAATTGTACTCTTTACATACAAAAATGCTCCAATTTCTTCTACAGATACACGTATTAGGCTAGAACCATTTTACGCGTGTCTCACTCAATACGGTAATCTGCAATTTGCAGTTTACCGTATTTTTGGATTACGCTGAGGGCGTAATCCAATAATTCGAGCGGGATTCCAATCGATGTGACCCACACCACAATTGCTAAAGTATTCAGACTCACAGTTACCGTAGATGTGCGGAGCAGGGATCAGATTGTGCAAGTCTGCGGAGATTTTTGAAAGTGCTTATATATGACAAATTTAACCAAGTCAAAAAGAAGTCACATTTATAGGTCAATGGAATCAGTAAACTCCTTCGAGAAATACTAGTACCAGCACTAAAACCTCAGGAGTCCAGCCCTCGAGTAGTTTTTTGCTCCCGGATTCCTGGCTGGGCGTTATTAATAAGCTGAGAGCTGTATGGTAATCAGTACCAGTATTATAATCCAGATCAGTATTTCGCTCAGATGACGCCGTGAAGTACTGTACTGTATGCATTATGTACAAGTGTACAGAGCATGGGCTAACAAGAGTGTATGTGTGTTTACATATCTTTTTAAAATAATAGAGTGCGTACGTAATTTTATTTTAAAAGTCCTCGCCTAAAGAGTAATACCACCTCTCAGTTGTAATATCTTCAAAGTACTCCTTCACAAACTTGAGTTTTCACAATATTGATTGTCGAAGGCGGTATCTTCGATTTTGTATGCAATCGAGCGGAAAACGTCAACATTGGCAAAATGTTGACTCACAGAAGTACTATTTTATCAATGCATCTCAAAAGGATCATAAAAAATTGGACTACCGAGGCATGTGAATATTTAGTCAGCAACTCGCACCATCAAGGAAACGTCGTAAACACGAAGTGGCCAGCACCAGCAGCATCTCAACGCCGTCAACAATCAGAGCCAGCATAATCTCGCCGGCGTCCATATCCAGATTCAGCAGCAGCTCGGCATCTCGACGCCGCCAATAACCAGCAGCAGCAGCACCGAGACGTCAATCCCACTCAGCGGCAGTCCTTTTACAGGCGAGGTAGCAGTGGCTATCGTACGCAGCAGCATCTCGACGCTCATGACCAGCGCGGCCAACAGCATTGCAACGCCCAGTTTGGTTAGACAGACTCAGCAGTAACGTTGGTCCGAACGACCACTAGCATCGCAACGCCAGTGTGGGCTAACTTCAGCAGAACATCACACGGGTCGACACTGAGAAGACACTGCGCGAAGCAAGTCACAGAAAGCCTATGTGAATGTAATGTGCAATTTTTCAAAATAGCTGCCAGCAAGATAACATGAATTTATATACTGCTGACGACTTTGAGGCATTATTATTGGAGCAATATTCTAACAGATAAATTACTTGAATGACAAGAGTTGGTTGCGTGCTGCGATAGCCATTTAAATAACGTGCAGCTTAACAGTGTCGAAGCACTTTATAGCATCTTCGAAACAATACTGAGTGGCTCGGCAAGCAAATGTCCCCCTAATTGAAAAAAAAAATACACCATTTATCTACCAATTTGTTTCAACTCACTTTTGTTGTCCGACAGCTGTCCTACGTTTTTCCTGGAAAAGTAAATGTACCATTACGATGGTACAATCAGATCTCAGCCTTCCTCTCTTTCTTTGCTAAACACCTTTCAATTGTAATACATGTAATACATCATGTATTATACATGGAGTCCTTGGAAAATTTCCCGTCTACAAACTTTGTAGACGGGGAATTTTCCGTTAAATCCGTTTACGTCCCCCCCCCAACCCTACTACAAAGTCAGGGCTGTTACAATCCCGGGAAAACATTGAAGCAGTGTATTATTACGTATTGGATGCGCCCAACTGACCATATTGAAGTTCAATATGACCTTCAATGAAGGTCGCGCCCAGCTGAGAAAGTACAACCTTATTGAAGCCAATATTAATATGCACCACCCTCACCATCCTAAAAAAGGAGGACGGGTGTCATTTACATCTTAAAGACTTGCTCCGCTCCGCGTCGCAAAGGCCGCTGCGCTCCTGCAATAAAAAGATTGTCTCACCTGGAGAGTGCAATGCTGAGCATTATGCTCGGCTCGCTGGAAAGCTCGGCGCTGGGCCCATCTCCGCAAATACCGTACGGCGGGTACCCCGCGCGGGCTTGCTGCGGGCCGCCGCCTGCGGCTATTAATAAGCCCGCTCGCCTCAGTGGGTCTTCTCCGTTTTGATTTGCACGCTTTTTCACCCCCTGCCTGTCAGTTGGGCGCAATACTCACTCCCATTATTATATGGGGGTATCACGGTCGAGGACGATCCCGAAAATGAATTAAATCCTACATGTAGCCCAAACGCTTAATGATGAGGATATATGTAGATGTCATGGCCTTCCAATCTGCAAAGGGGTTTAATTTTTACCTCCGATATCTACAAAATTCGACACATCCAAACTTTGGATTCCAAAGCAGTCGGGTGGAACATTTTGGATGGTATTAATACGTAGCGTACTCCGTCGAGTCTCGATTCGAGAGGATTGGTATTCCCGTTGCTCATTCCGCGTATTTCGTAAAGACTGTAATGGACAAATCCACGAAGCAGTCCAATGAGAAAATCTTGATGATGGCACAGCAGCGGCTTCCTGTGCTGTACAGATGATCGTCATACTGTAGAGGCACGATCTCTGCCAGCAAAGAACCTCTCCATTCGACAATTTCCCTTTTCCAACTCTCAGACGGAAGCACCTATTTCTCAACAATGCGGCTGCTGTACGTTCTGATAGCGGCTGCAGCCTCCCTTCTCGCCAACATCGAAGCAACGACCTCTGCAGACAGTGCGAAGATGATCTCGGTGCAAGTGAGCAAGACAACCCGGAGGTTTCTAAGAAGTCCTAAACCCTACGAAAACAACGAGGAGGAAAGGGCTCCCACAAACATCCTTACGCTAGTTGACGACGCCGCAAAAGCCCTTCCGTCTGCTGATGAAGCCGCAAAAGTCCTCCCGACACTCGACGACTTGTTTAGGATCCAGAAGATGGATGAAGCGCCGAATACAAAGAAGGCGATGGAGATTGTCAAACCTCTTTTTGACAAAATGTCCTCGTATCCTAAGATCAAGGAGGCCGCTCTCAAAGAAATGGAAACGAACCAGAATCTGAAGTCGTTATGGAGTCATTTTATTCTGTCAAAAAGGGTAAACTTCGACGTCAAGGAGATTTCTAAGCAACGCCCTAGCGCCAGCTAAGATATATCAATAGACAGTGTGTAGTATGCACATGTTCAGGCAACACTCAAGGGATAACACTCTCGTTTTCTTTTGCACTCTTCGGTTTTCGTTTCTGCATCTACCATGGACACTTTCGCCTAAAGCTGAAAGGAAAAGCGCGTACGTACCAACAGTTCGTCACTTGGGGTCTTGTGCTGTGTATTGTGTGTGGTAAGATTCTAATCAAAACAGCTAAGTCGTTATGCGCATGAAGAGCTCTGGAATTTCGATGAAAACTGAAGCTTCCACACGAGTATCGTAGATGAGCTGAGCAGCTACTTACGAGAGTCTGCCATTCTGGTGGGTAACTACATATACATGAGCTGGATAGAGGGAGTGGTCATCCCTGAGGAGAGACGTCGTGAGGGAAGGAGGAAGAACAACAGCAGATGACATGTATGGCCTTCTGTTGCGGATATTAGTCGTCGTTAGCTCAGTCAGCCGAAATGTACACAATACCGGTGTACCTTAAGGCCCTGATTTCTCGGTCGGTGCCTCGGTCTGGGAATACACCCCGCAGATCGCTTTAATTCCACCCCACCACATAGATATGTTGACAAAGAGGTCGTTAAGCCCTGACATAACTGCTGCGGCTATGTCGGGTGATTTCTTCGTTTTTGGAAGGCGTCCATTGACTCAGCAGCAGAAATAAATGTTGTACTGCATAATTAAATAGTATGGCTCAATTGATGTAGTATTTAATGTAAGAAATAGTTATGATGTTTGTCATAACATATACACATATCGCAATAAAATCCTCCTTTTACTCCCATCCCCAAGGACCCACCCAAAATGGAGTAAGCGAGGTTACTCTGGTCGATGTAGAGTGTCCCCTATGCGCGATTGCACTTGAGTTAATTATTCATTTTATGTGCTGGGGCATTTAGTACAGGACAAAATCACACTAAAATCTTTCTGGATACTGCTGTTTGAGGTTCGCCACTTTCGTTTTGGAAGATGTCGTGCGCAAGATACGCGAGGAAGACGAAGAAAGTGACGTTCTTCTGCTGTTGTGTGATACATACTTGAAGCGCGAAGCAAGCCTGCGCAGTGTCCGCCGTGACGTACACGATGCCATGATGCAGAGCGCATGGCGAGCTGCTATGCGCACTCGTCATTACTTGAATGCAGCCTGTTTGGATGTGCCCTGTGTTACCGCGTAGATGGGGTTCGACAAGAACGGCCTCGGCTCAAACTTCCTGAATGCTACTAGTCTGCCGAGGTACGCTACGAATGTTCAGTGTGTTATCGGGCTAGCTATATACCGTCACGTCTACACAGAGCTGCATTTAAGCACTTACTGCGTCGGCTTGCTCGCTACTACTACATCCCTCCGGTCAGAAGCAGAGGTCGGCCGCCCAAATTGCGCTACCATCATCAGGCGCTGGGTCTCGATCGGTGCTTCTATGTCGGGTCAAGGGAGAACGGAACGCTGTACATTTTGCTCGGGGTGCCCCCGACAGAGGCGGAGGCAGGCCTAACGAGGCGCTGTTACTATTTACATTTGCACGAGCAGCAGCCTTCTAACTCCGACCTTCAAAACCCAATGTACAATGGATAACTACACTCGGTTCTAGTCACGAGTACTATTTGCTTTGCCGCCGATGACTGCATTATCTGGGCCAAGCAAATTTGTCCTGAATCCCGGAACGATTCAGATACATCGCTCGGGTTACGCAGAAAACGTCAGTATCCTGTGTATTGCCCTGAAGATCGCGTGAACGTGGTGTCAGTCTCCGCCTTCCCGTGCTCCACGGCAATGACCGGCAGGATCCTGACTCCACTGAAGGACGGAGAGATGGAGAGGATTGAACCGTCTCTTCGGGGCTCAGCGAGGACGCTGCACAACGCCATCACTTCAATGAGGCTGACTGCAGAGTGGGGAACGGGCAGCGTGCAGAAGGTCTACAGTCGCTTGAATTTGCCGGGGCTCTACGATCAGAATCTCCGTGGTCGAAGACTCAACAACATGTTCCGTATGGCTAATTAGTGCGTGCAGACGGTGGGTATCTCGGAGATACGAACAACTTTACGGGTGCGATGGAGATGACGTTGTAGATCTCGCTGGGTGGTGCAGATTGGAAGAACTTGGACATGTTCGTTTGTATGAATATCCTTTACCCAAGAACGAATACAAGTGCAGTTATCGGACATTTACGATTCATGTTGATGGTTGGTTCGCTACGGAGGGTCGTTTTCAAAATGCAGCGCAGCAAAATACACTTGGCCCATTCACGACGTGCGCCCGTTCGCGACCTCGCCGAACAAATGAATACGACTGATTCACAAAACGCATCAACCCCCCCCATTTCAGCAGCGTTTACGGCGACATGAGCTGGGTAGCTCGGCCTCTCAAGCCGTTGGGTCATCACCAGCCTGAATCCTTCATTCCGTGGGCGACGCGCTGGATCCACGCTGACGTGCTCGAACTCGCCTAAGTACTAGCCCAACACCTCGCCCGCATCAATGCCCTCAGCAGCGACAACAGGTAACCGGAGCGTATGCGTCTTTCTCGCCAAGTACATCTTAGTCGATTCCTCGAGACTGTTCCTGCACTTGGCGTCGTATGAACAGCAGCTTGGGGTGCAGTACAGCTGCATCAGCGAGTTCCTGCATGCCCATGGCTCCGAACAGTCACACCAGCCGTAATAGGGCACTGTTGGGCATACGAACCCGGTCGGATTGTCTGAGTACGGAGGTGAGCGATGCGTGCTGGCCAGTCTGTTGGTCCGAAGCGGTCCCGAGAGCATCTTTCACGCGCACGTGGTGGTGGTGACGTCCTTGGGCTGGACCTCATCAGTCCAGCGATGGAGAGACAGCCTCACGACGGTGATCCCGGCGTCGGCGATACGGTTGAGCAGCTTCTCGACACTCTCTCTGGGAACTACGACGATCGCGCAGGGGGATCCGAGGCTTGGAGCGAAGAAGCAGTGCTGGCGGTGTCGCCAATAGATCTGGAGATGACGTCGGCGAAACCGTGCGGCGGCTGCGTGTTTGGTGGATGTCTGTTGCGCCTCCAGTTCAACTGCGCGCGATGCAGTCACGTCAGGCTTCGGTTTTCGCGGCGGGGTATCTGCCAGCACAGATAGTGTCCCCGTAGAGCTGAATTGCGACATGTTTGGAGCCGTGTTTTCCTTCTCGGTCGACGAGTCGGCGATGCATCGCTCGCGCCAGTATGAAGCCGAGTGAACCATGCTCTGGATGTGCAATTCTCGTCAGCTAAGCCCCAATACAAGGCTTCGTTAGCGTACCTTCTCAACAAAAGAGGCGCTTTGCTCCCAGCGGATGAAAAAAGTGAATGCTTCCATCAACTTGGTGCAAAAATGAGATATGCCAGATATATGCAGTAGGAGTGATTGTGGATTAAGTCTGAGCGATGGTCAGCATTTTCAATACAAAACCGAAGATCTGGCCTTAACATGGCTACAGAGATTAAACTCAGGGGTAGGGAAGGTTACGGAGACGATTTTTATGCCTCCGCCGGTCTATTCGACGCTATGCACTGACATACCTGCTGCAGCTATATCGGGTGATTTCTTCGTTTGTCCTTTTCGCCGTGAGAGCAATTATGCCTTAGCCAATGGAAGACTCACATTTTATGGAGAAATCAGGGCCTAAGGGAAAAGGATTCTTAGACTGAATTCGTCAAGTAAAAAGGACAAAGGCATTGAAATGCACTATACCAACTTCAATATAAACGTTTAAGATGGCTACGTTGCATTATTAGGGAAAGGGCAGTCGTAATTCCGGCCTCACGGGGTTTGGCATTCTGCTGCAGATAAGCCGCCTGCTTAGGAGACACCCTGTTGCTAATTCGGACCAAATTTTGTGGTCAAACATGCAGACTTGAGCACCCGACACCACTGTGAAGGTCACCAGCGAGACCAAAGATGCAGCTCTGGTGTGGTGTACGTTAGTCGGAGTAATAAAATATAAAGTATATGCACTTTAGTGCTGCACGAAAATGTGTTTGTCCATTTCGTGCACTGCCCGAAACAGCTCTATTCATAATGCCATGTTTGCATGATCAGGAAGGGTTAGGGCTGTTATTTAGTTGGTTAAATACTTAAATAGCATTTCATGCAGTTAAATGCAGATAATAGCTATTAAATACGAATTTAATACTGCAACACTGAACGCAGATGATACAAACATTTAGATGCAGAGTATGCATATTTACAAGGTGCGCAAAAGAGCACAACCATAGCTGCGGTGATAGCCGTCAAGAAGACGTGGATCTGCGAGATCTGCCAGCATTCGAACAGCGATCGTAGCAGTGCGAGGCCTGCCACACGTCAAGTGATGACAAAGAAGCCGAGAGCCAAGGATCTAAACAACAACTAGGAGACTGCCTTTTGGCCGAGCAGCTACATGACGATCATTGGCACGGCCACGTGCCTGACTCAGACGAAGCTGTCGCGAAACCCGACAGTGACTCTCACAAGAAGAAACCGAATAAGCGACCTAGAGACAACGACTTGGACTCCGAAACAGCCGAGTCTTAGCTGGATACGAGCAAGCTCAAGCGGGTCTTGCTTCAGGAGGCCAAGCCGACCGAAGACCAGGCCTTTATGGCCACCATGATAATCGAGATATGCAACTAGAGGTCGCGAAACCAGCCCAGTCCCGTCGGCCTCGGCCAGCGCTAATATGCTCGCTAATCGACCTGCCAAGATGATGATTACTAAGTATCTTACCAAATGGAAGGAATTCACCTACATGCACGCGTCGTGGGAGACTAAACAAGTGTTGCTGGATCTGGATCCACTCATGAACAAACACTAGAAGACCATGCGCTTCCATGAAAAGGAACATCTCAGGGTGCAGTATCTACATCGCCAAACTGGCGATATGGACGATAATTCTCTGGTGGTTGTTGATGAGTAAGAATACTTAAACATTCTCATGACAACGTACGAAGTGGCGATCAAGGCCATTGCCGTGCTATCAAAGATCCATTGGTGGTGTCTAATAGCGGATGAAGCGCACATACTTAATAACCAGACCTCATGCTGTGAATCGCTACGCAGATATCACTGTGTACTCCGTACGGGTACTCACCCAAGAACAAGGTCGAAGAGTTACCGGTGCAGAAGCAACGGTACCGTGCGTTTTAAGAAAGAAACACATCCTTCTTGAAGCGTGGCAGCAACCCTCGCAACGTCATGGTGGAACTATTCAAATGCTGCGGCCACCCTCACCTAAGCAACTGAAGAAATGATAACATTCTGAGTGCAAAGATATTGGGACATGCAGTGCGGAAATTGAGAGCGGCAACGTCCAGAACACCATGAATTTCCCGGCCAACACTACGTATTGCATTAGAGCCAAGAATTAGAATAGGAGGTCAACACGAATGTGTTATTGCTGCGCTTTGTTACAATTATTCCTCTTCAGAAGAGATGTCCACGCTGACGATTGCATCCAATAAGTATTCAAATTCGGCGTCGCGCAAGTCAAATAAGCATTCATCGTTATCTTCATCACCGTTATCGTCGCTGTCACTGTCACTATCGCTGCAGTAATCGCTCATTGTCGAAGGTGTCTGGTATAGTGGCATACTGGTTGGCTTAGAATCACCGTTGTTCGTGTAGATAAAAGCGAGTTTATCAGCAGTGTTAACTCAAAGGCTATTACGAAGCTTGGTCTGCGTAAATCCGTGAACACTCCACAGCCGTTCGCTTGCAGCAGATGAAGTAGGAATACTGAGCACCTTTTCAGCAAAGCGGTACAGTTTGGGGAAATCTTCGTCCATCAGCCACCAATGCAGAGGTGTATCTGTACCAGCTTTCGTCTTCTCTTCAGCAGTCCTGGATTTCTTCATGCCAATAAAGTCCAGTAGCTCCAAACACAAGCTAGCTGGACTAATATTCGGGGGCAATCCAAAGCGTTCAGTCAGCTTAACAGCATCTGCAACTGTATCGCGCATACTGTCGCCAGTGAAAATAGAAGTGTCCTTTGATGGGTCCAGTAAGTATGCGATTCTTGTTGAGTTGGAAGGTGGAGTGATGAACTTCCAGCGATCATCGATCGAGGCAAGTGTTTTGGCCTGCACAGATGGGTCGGTGAGACCGGGAATAGGAGCCGTGTACACGTCTGTGTGCTTTAATCGCTCAAACTCGTGCAGAATCATCGAATTGGAACCTGTATCAGTTTCAAAATTGGCGAGCGCGCGCGTGACAGGCTTGGTCAGCCGAACAGCGATTCTTGCACTAGCCCAGAACTGTTTGCCCTGCAGTATGTCTACAACATCGTTGAGGTTTTGAGCAGCTGCTGCGTCAGCATAATGCAGCATGAGCTCAGTATCGGCGAACGCCGCCTTCAACGGCGACTTGTTGCGAACCACGCTTTTTATACACTTCTCTTGGGCATACCATCTTGTAGACACCGGAGCCGACACCTCACCAGTCTTTGCTCTCTTTGGAAGAGTCCGACGCTTGGCACGAACTCGGTCCAGAAGGAGGTGTCGTGTCCGTACAAATGTTACCAGCTTCACAGCTTTTTTAAGACGTTCGCAAAAAAACTCAATTTTGAACATATCTTTCAGTAGCAAATTCATAGTGTGAGCAGAGCAACCATTGAAGACCACATTTGGGTGCCTCAATTCAACAAGGCATCCAGCTTTCTTCATATTCGCAGCATTGTCGGATACTACGGTAATCACCTTCCCGACACCCGCGACAGCTTCCACCTCGGAAATAACGCGAGAAATCTCAGATGCCATAAATTCTCCAGTATGAGCTTGACCTCCCGTTGTACCAGATGACCACATCATCGGCCGCATTTTGGGAGACATGATAACGTAGTTTACGATGCTTTCTCGATTAATGCTTGACCAGCCGTCCGTGATGATAATTAGCCGTGGTTGACGCTGTAGAATCTGTCCCAAACGTTCCTTTTCCGTATTGTAGGCTAAATTCAAGAAAGTAGTTGCAAGACCTTGGCGCGTTGGAAGCTTCATATTCGGGCAATAGCGAGTGAGAGAACGACGCAGATGCGGGTTATCAATCACACGAAACGGTATTCCTGCCGTGTAAAACGCAAGGGCAATATCGAGGTGAAATGCCCGCTCTTCTCCCTTGCCCACATCGCGCTTTGGAGGGGGTACGTGGACAGATCCACCATAACTCAGTCGGCGAGCCTTCGTTGGAGAGAAGAAGCCTTGCGCTTCTTATGCAGCGCGATATTAGTCCACTTCGTTTTTGTCGCCGCAGGAGCGTGTGGACAGGTCGAGAAGTGGCGGTATAGGTGTCGAGCTGGCTGGGCGTGTATGATGACCTCAGTGCAGTAAATTCAGGCGACATCCGGATGCTGTTTAGCTTCGGTCTTAGGGCGAAGCGTTGTAAACTCTATCCAGATAGGATCTCCCTTACGTCCCATTTTGCTTGTCGATTAGCTTGCGAGGGTTGGCTTCTTGGCTTGCGCAGTAGAAGACTTCTTAAACAATGAGCTCGACGACAGCAAGCTCATGCAGAATGTACGAGGTATCTACTCGAGGGAACCAAAGAGGTCGCTGTCAGGGGAGCTCTGATGGAAGTGTACGTCATGGAAGTGCAAGCGCGCACAAGTTGTCCGGGCCGCACAACAAAGCTCCAAGCTGCTTCGCCCAAGTCTGATCTAGTTGAAGTGACTGCCAGAGGCGAGGTCTGGTCCATTTCCCAGCTGTCAATCAGGAAGCAATAATTCTAGATAGAGTGAGGACTGTAAGGAGATCGGTGGTACGCGAGCGGTTTGATGGTCTCCTCTGACGTCGGTATCTATGGGAAAGTCAGGCCGCTTGCATGTTCCTTGTTTTTATTCTCATTTTCATCGCATGTGCTTTTTGGAAAGTGGTTGAAATGCGTTCACTTACACCGAAGTAGATACCTCGGTGTTGTCCAACAGACGAGTATTTTAACGGTATTTAATTCTCATTCGTTAAATACGCATTTAACCCTAGTTAAATATAAAACTAAATATCAGCACTTGGAAGGGTACTCCAATGCGAGAAAACAACTGACGTAGTACACGTAGTCGTTTAAATCGACGACTACTCTTTTTGAAGATCTCGTGCACTTTCAGAGCACGGCCATCAGGCCAATGAAACCAGGTTATAACGCATAGTCAGCACTTCCTTCTGGAAACCGTAATAACAAAAGTCAGTCAACGCAGCACGTCGAGCGAATCAATGACTACCATTGGACACATTTGCCTTCATAGGCTCATCTGGCCGAGAACGTTAGCTTTACCTCCCATTAGAGGCTGCAAAAGGTTAGCCGTATCGGTTTAACCGTACGGATATGGCTCACCCAACCGAGTTCATGGGCATTAAATACCCACCTAATAAAATTGAACCAGTTTTAGCTTTTTTCATAGTTTTTTAGGTGATTTACGCTTGTCTTAGCATTTTTTTTACTAATTTGACACGTAATTCTCGGTTTGCCGATCGCTTTTTTTCGGCCGCCCATGTCTGTCCGAACGGGGGCCATGGTCGCCCGAAACTCGATGACAAGGGCTTTCGGACGGGTATAATTAAGCGAAATTTTGCGTTTGGGACTGCTGCCTCCCAGTCACGATGGCTTACGAAGCAAACACCACTAAGCAGAACAATTGCCAGCAATATGGTTCCATATTTTTTTAGATCGTCGTCTTGAATTTGCTGTAGCAACAAGATTCTTGATAGTGACTACTGTAAGCTTCAATATTACGCAGTCAAATGCATGATGCACTTTTGACTATAACACCCGCAGTGCGTGGCCATCAGCACTAGTCATGAAATGGGTAGCTAGCTATTAACAAAGTGTCCTTTCGCTCAAGGAAAAGCAACACTGCCATGACGTGCGAGGAGCATGACGCACAGGAGATATACTCGGTGGTTGACTCATCAAGCCTCATTACTCCAGACAATGCCTGCTATTTGCTCGTTATAACCCTCAGTGGAACTCAATAGCGAGGCAGAATTCACCCTCACCTGCGTCAAAGCTTGTACTTAGTAGATAAGATCAAGTTGCCCGACAAACTTTTATTCACGCTCAGCTATTCTTAAGCCTCACCTGATCAGCTCAAAAATGGATAAGGCGGGGATTCAGCGTACAGCCATTTGTTGTTGAAGTCGAGTGGCGAAACGCAAAGGTCGGCGCTAATTGGCCTACTGAGAGGGCTCCGAAAGAAACAAAAGCGCTGATTGGACCTCTAGGTGGGCTCCGATTTTTCCGTAGCCGTTTCAAAAACACTTCAACAAGTCACGAATGGCTGCTTTATCTCTTTGTTTGTGTGCGAGAGGTCACGGGGGCGTTGCTGAATCGCATGCCACTCGATTGCAATGCAGCCAGCCTCTCGCTCGAGATTGTCTTTTTGGCAATCATTCTCGCATTTTCCTCGTGGTGGGCAGGTCAAAACAACTTCGTCTAATGGATGTTTAGGTAGTCATTTCGTTGCTCATTTTCACGTTCGTGAGCTGCGGCGTCGTGTACGATGTCGAACTCAGCCCGCAAGGACGGAAGTTGCACTCTAGACGCTATCGGTAAGGCAAGTGTGACCCCTTGTGGCCTCAATAGCTGCTCATGATGGTGTGTGTTTGGGGAGTAGAGGCGGCGACTATTGACGGGTGTCCATGGTGTTGTCTACGCTGCATTCTATATGGCCCGGTATAACGTCGCTGCCGGCAACGTTTCATCGGTGCGCAATCAACTTGGCTTCTCCTCTGTCTACATGGGCTGGTACGTCTTGATGATCTACCAGAGTTTGTTTGACATGCGCTAATGTCGCGACCATAGGGTTCTCTCTGCAGGGTCTTGGGCGTACGCCGTCAGCTCTCCTTTCACGGGGCAAATTACCGATTATATTGGCGGAAGAAAGGGCATGATCCTTTCGTGTGTCGGAGCAGCACTCTGCAATCTAGCACTCGGAGTCATCTTTCTCAGCAACGGGTCGCATGTTGTGAGGCAAATCTTCTTCATTGTTTTCTACGCGGCGAACTTCCTCATGCAGGGCTTCGGTACGAGCGCTGTGGTAAAGATCAACGCGGCTTGGTACCTGGCAAGTGAACGAGGAGTGTTTGCTGGTGTTTTCAATACAATGTTGACGAGCGGATACTACTTGTCACTGGGCACCGGCAGCAGCATTATCGAGTCTTTGGGCTGGGCCTACGTCTTCATTATTTCGGGTGGTGCTCTGCTCGTGATGTCAGTCATCGTCATGGCTTTCGTGGAGAGCACACCTGATGACACAAAGTATACTTCATCCGACCGTCTTCCGACCCAGATCGAGCCTCAATGAGTGTCATGTGAAGATGGAGTAATAGAGGAGGATCTAACTCCCCAACAGCAGATGAAGCAACTCCTGAAGAACTACATTTCTTGGATACCTTGCCGCGTTATTTTTCCTCTGCTGGACTCGTGACGGCTTTCTCAACTGGTTCCTCTCCTTCTTCGACGATGTGCGTTCGACGCCGTTAACATCGAGTGACACGGCTATCATTGGAGGCGCCTGGACTATTGGAGGGTTCGTCGGAGGCATCCTTTGCGGCTGGATCAGTGATGCTGTGTTTAAGTCGAATCGGGTCAAGCCAATCTTCATATTTTCTCTTTTGCAGGCTGTCGTACTCGGGGTCATCTACTCGGTGAGTGCGACGTGTAGCGTAGTTCCTCTCGAGCGTATTTATTCTAGGCAACTACACGCTGCTGAGCTACACGGTGCCCACGGATCTCCCCCAAGACATCGCTGCTGGGGCCACCAGTATTATGCACGCTGTTGGGTATTTCTCGACTGGTCTCTCAAGTGCTGTAATGGGCAACGTCATCGATGGTGCGGGGTACATTGTATGGGCAATGTCACTCATTGTAGCGTCGGTGCTGTCAGGTATATTTGTCAAGATGGGATCACATTTCTCGAAGGCCAGCATCATCAAGTCGCAGCACAAGACTGAAGAAACTACACCCACGACTGAAGCGTCTGACGAGCTGTTGACATGCTCCTTGTCGTCTGACGTATCCTTTATAATAGTGGAGACACCCAAGCCTGCCAATGACTCGCCACCTTATTGAATCTGCTACAATTGTACTAGCATGCTGGGTGTTCTTAGTTTTTTTGCGTGAGTTTTCCACATTTCTTGGGGGTCAAACGGGCAAATGCATTTTTTTTTAGCAATCCACCGATAAGGGGCAAGGAAAGGCGGGTATTTCTTGTCTGCTAGCTGCTTCCTCTTCCAGATATGAAGTAGGAAGAGCACATACCGGAATGGTTTTTTCTTCGCTATGCAATAACCCTGGATGTTGCTGTCTTTCGATTTTTCATCATTTATCGATTTTTTCCAGAAATTTTTGTCTAAGAAAACTAATAATTGTGAAGGATCGATACAAAGTGCATGTTGTATCAATTTTTTTTTAAAAGAAGAACTAAAGTTTTCATCGGTTAGGTCCAAAAACTGCGTGGGACATTCGAAGTATTGAGCTACTTCGAGGTAAGAAATCAAGTTTCAGCGACTCGGTTTTTCTAAAATTTTGGAACGTACACAAAGAAATGCGCTGAGCGCGTAATAAATTAAATCCTCAAAACGTATTGCAACTTTTGTCCGGAGCGCAAACAGCTCGTTATTCTTCGTTTTTGTTTTAACGAAGTCGTCACGTTTTCATGTCGGCTAGCGTCATTCCCACCCCTGCATTTTGTCCAGCGTGTGGGCATTGTATTGTGATTTTTCGAAAACCTGAGGTTGTAAAAATGTTTCTGCAAAAAATGACACTTCCATGTGCTGTAGCTTCAGATGTTGACGCCTGAGTCCGTACTTCTGTAGTACCAGAGCCCTAGGGTCTTATTTAACGCATATTTCACGGTGCTCACCAGACACTCACAATAAATTGAAAAATACGGAACTTTTTGTCATTACTGGTGGCTACAAGTTACTTCGACCGCAGTTATGATTCAGGATTTTTCCTTAGCCAAAACTTGGTTTCAGAGAGGCCCAGTAAGACGGAGTGTCTTATAATTTCCCTCACCTCGTAGTGTGTCAATTTCCTTTTTGTATTCTGATTGCAAACTTCACACTAAGGCCAGCTGAGACCTTTGATATAGTCACAAGTGTTCCCGTCGCGAGACGAACAGTTATGGTATCCCCTGTTTGTACACACAGTGCCTCAGCGTACAGCTAACTTCCTCCCTGGGTGGAGCGACGGGCGTAGTTAACCGAGGCTCCCGAGTCAATCAAGACTCTGCACGGCTTCGCAAAGCCCTTCACGCTCGCTTGAGCGATCAGTAAACTTAGCTTGCGCACACTCGTCACGTATAAGAGCCCAGATCCCTTCGGGGCTGAGCCCAGCTGACCTCCTCAAGACACATCAGAGCTCACTTCTTCCTCAGTAGGCCACCCCGCGCCTACTGGGAGTTGCCGTTTCCCGGTGATGACCCGGAGGCCTGTCTCGCCGGAGCTTCGCGCTTTTTACGCAGCGGAAATAAGCCCGCAAATACTTGGTACTTCTGCACACAAAGCATCGTCGGATGCCGGCGCGTTGCTCCGCTGCAAGAAGCTCCGCTTCTTCATCTCCAGCGTAGTTGAGGTCCCTCGGCTCTTGACCGCAAGCCCCACGTTATCACGGTCGGGTCGACTTAAAGTTGCGCTCGGCATTCAATGCCACTCCACTGCCTCCTTGAAAGAGGTAGGCGTGCACGGAATACTTCCATTCGGGATACGCCCACGCGAAGCCCTTCTATTACGACGGTCACTGTGACCAGCTCAGGTAGAGGGACCGCCGCCATTCCGGCGATTAGAGTCCTCAACTCTTGGACATAGTCCAGCAACTTCTTCTTGCCCTGTCGGGCGGCGAGAAACTTCGACCAAACACGGCATGCCTGCACAAACACACGCGACAACTGTTGTTTCAACAGCGTCCAAGTGGGGAACGCAACGTCCACAGACGTATCGCACGTTAATGTCTACTCACGAGCGCGACCTTCAAGCTTCGAAATGGCAAATGCCGCACGTTGCTGCATAGACTGAAGCAAGGCCGATCCCATGGCCATCTCGACTATACGGGTCCCAAGAAGGACGCCTTTTCCGTCCCTCCCTTCTAAGCTCTTCACGCTCAGGAGGAGCGGATTTGGCCTCACCGACCTGACACGCGTGACCAATGTTGTCGCCGTTGCGGTACTCATCTTTTCTTGAGCATGCTTTAAGGGCGCGTTCTCGTATCGATAGAACGACCCCAGCCGGGCGGTCGCTGCTTCTGGACCTTGTCATGCAAGGTAAACCATGTCCTCGGGGCCAAGCAAGGACATGAGTATAATAAGCGTGTCCTGCTGCGCCGGGGTAAATTTGTGAACACCGGGTGTTTCACTCTCGCAGAGGATACAGTGAACCGGCTCGGGCGGGATTGACTACAAGTGCTACCAAGTGCGGCGAGGCTGCCGTAGTTTTAGCGTCAGAGAAAGACGTTCGAATTAAAGTGTTCGAAATACAAAGTTCCTTATCCCAAAGAACTTTAGACAGCCCTAAAACCAGGGCTGAAGAGCTACTCGAAATAACTTTTCTACATAAAATTTTAAAGTGTTTTACTTACGTTTTTTGTGGCCAAGCCGCCTAGGATTAAATGTTTGTTTAGCTATCTAGCCTAGTAAAACCTAATCAAATACATTACGTGTGGCTTTCAGCCAACGCACTGAGAGACATTGTTAACTCTCCAGCTTATATACGGGTCGTTTTCTTACCTCTCCGGGTACACCGTACCATGCGTGCCCCGCACCGTGTAACCCCGTTACATCTTCGACGGACGCGTCAGAGAGCCCGGGACAACAGCACTGGGGCGCCTTGCGCCAGTGGGGCTGGCAGGAAGTGACTTTCAACTTTCAAGGAGTGTGGAAAGAGCTAAAGGCGGCAGGATGAATTTCAAAGCCCCACATGGTCACAGATTCAACAACAGGTACTGAAATCTTTTTCCGATGACGTCAACGGACGACAGAAAACAATCTACTTGGTAACGATAGAGCATGCGCTTCGAGCCAGATATTAGCATGGCCACAATAACGAATTTTTATGAGCACACTGATGGAGCTACAACAATGCTTACGCACTGAGATCCGTCACATATTTGCGCTCTCTACATTCTCAACGCTTTTCGCGTACGTACCAATTTACTTCTGAAAGCAAGTTACTGTAAAAACAAATCGCTATGCTGCTTTAAAGGCGTCTGTATCACTCACCCATTCACGTTAGAAGAGTTCGATAAATTTCTGGGTCTGAATTACATGCTGAGGACGTGATTCGGATGGAACGTCGACTATCCAGGATATCGCGATGAGCCTTAACCGATTTAAGCTGCTGGGAGGCTGTTTCAGCTTTTGCGCAGACACGGAGAGCTCGGAGACGCGTGATCCTGCTGCTAAAATCCGGCAGCTACCGAGTCTGTTGAAGTGTACTGGTGGACACTATATCAATGATGGTCAATATCATTCTTTAGACGAGGCACGCGTTGCGTGTCGGTCCCACTATGGACGTTATCTTATCGTACTCAATCCCCAGAAGCCTGGGGGAGAGTACAATTTTCGCATGTATGTGGTGTGCTGCTCCACAACCTGAATAGCTCTAAATTGTCGACTGTATTGCAATAACAGTGGCATAGCGGATCGACGTCAGAACGTCATGAGCCCAGAAGAAGTTCAAACTCTGCGGCGGAAGGATTTTGACCAGGTCAAACAAGTGTGAAATCTTGTGCTAGAAGTGGCGAGACACTTTTCCATTCACGAAAGATTATTAGCATGGACAGCTACTACACGAGTGTTTAAATGATCCTGGAGCTTTTCTTAAAGGAGCTGTATGATTGTCTGAGACACCAGCCGCCATTTCCCAAACGCACAGTCTTTCAGAAAGATAAATCCACCCCCCCCGGGGGGGGGGTGATAATCAACACGCCGGTGCAGAAATACTTGCTGCCTCATGGTGTGATAGAAACTTCTTAACCAAGGTAATTAGCGCCGATCCGTCAGCTACAACAGCTCGTCGCGTTGGTCGTGACGAACAACCGTTTCCAGTACCAGCCTGAATTTTGCAATACAACCAGCATATACAGGGGGTGCACCGCCTGGATCAGCTTCATGCGAGATTTGCGCTAGTTGATGGGCATTCGTACGAGGAATGGCACAAAGAAAAAGGAGTGGCACTTCTAACCCTTGTCGGACTAACGCATATTTGACAAGGCTCTTGCGACCGACATGTCGAGCGACCGCGATCCACTCAGAGCAGTCGTTAACGAGTAGCCGTCGGAGCTGATATTGACAATGGAAGTGTGGATTATGGTGTAAATGTCATTCATCATACTGATGATGACAAGGCCTATTGCTACACAGATGTCAGCATAGCTGGATCGAATAACACGACACCAATCGTGGTTTCTAGTAACGTAGACCTCCGTAACGGCGGTGGCTCATCCGTTTCTGATAAGCAGCAACCAAGCAGTCGAAGTAAGGTAGTTAGAGCGAGTGCACTGTAGGCACAGCGCCTATCCCGATTATATGGGAAATGGTTTGCTACTTGACAATCACTCTTGTTGCGAGACGCTGTCTTTCCCAGGCTTCTCTTAAACTAAGCCGAAGTCCAATAACATCCGTATCGGTGCTCCTACGTGGTCTCTTCAAGCTAGGCTCATGCTTAGGCTGACTCTGTGGACACCTTCCGCGGAACGTAAACGTAGATGGGTAGTTGAGCTCCCGCGTCCTAATATGGTTGTTGAAGCTGCTAATTTGCCCAATACAGACTCGTGTATGGTGAGCGATGTCGAAGATAATAGCTGGAAGTGAATACAGCCAAGGAAGCGCCTGGACATAATGCTGAGCTCTGCGTCAAAACATTTACATTCACTGTTTTCTGGACAACAGAAAGGCGTTTCAGATAATAGAAGGCTTCTGGAAAAAGGAGTTTGCGAGGTTCAGGGGCGCGAAACAGGAACTTCTTCTGAAATTCAAAGAGAGTTCTTGTGTGAGACAATGGTGATTGCCGTGAAGCTACCGCCTCTGCTAGTATCTCTCCTGTTTTCTCATCCGTTTTTCCCGACCTTTGACCCAAATCCGCGGCCGCCAGGACACCATAAATATCACGTACGGTTTGTTGTGCTTCGCACAATGTCAACAAGTAATAGCGGCGATTAATCAGTGCTGCTCCATTATTTGGTGATAATAAGTACGGAGGAAACCGCGCCAAATCCCTGCCGTAGGTTCGCTTGAGGGCACGCAGTCGCCCTTCTAGCTGTTGGTGTGTGTTTACGCCGCATTTAGAGCGCAATATCGTTCCTAACGACCCCCTTCACTTGGCATTCATGCTCGTGCGCAAGCACTGAGAACCTCTTCTCCTCACTGTCTATGAAGGTTGTGCGAATTGGACAGATGAATCATGTATCGTACTTAGCGTAAGTATACTCGGACGAAATAGTGGACAATACACTTAGTGTAAGTTTATTTTGACGGATGGAGAGTCTCTGTGATGGCGTTCAAATATGCATTTGCATTCTGGAACAACTTGCGTTTCAGGAGAATCCTCTAGCTGCTCATGATTTTTGTCCGATAATAATAGTAATGGGCATGTGCATCTGATCACGCGGTCATTTATTTTGATAGCTGGAATTGCATCGTCGAGAAGCATCTTGCGCGATATTTCCCGCGTTACTGTGACTGGGTTCAGCTCAATGATGCCGTTTTTGTGGTGTTGTGATTTCCTCAGAGTTGCGAATAATCATCAGTCAACAAAGATGCGACGCCGTGAAGATGCTCAAGCGACGAGCACTCGTTCACAATATTGCTGTCTAATCAGTGCCAAATTCGAATGAGCATTATATCTCGTAAAAGGAGGCAAAATGTATTCTTCTTTGAAAATACAGCCGTAATCTATATCGGTAGTGTTGGGCCGTTCTAAACGAGCCGTAGTTTCGGGTAGGTTTGGTCGTCTTCCATATGTTTCTAAGGGCCTCAGGTTCAAATTCATATACTACGCTTAGGGCTATTTACAGACACTACCTACACCCAGCATCGAGGGGGGTTGGAGCGGGTGTCCGGGTAGGTTTGACATTTTTTTATTTTAACATTATTGACCACAAAAAGATATGTACTCTATGCATATGGGAGAAGTCTTGTGGTGATGCGCCTCGTAGAAGCGCCTCGCAAAGTAGCCCCCCCCCGGCTTGCCCTTAGTCTGCAGCTACGCATACACGGCCTACACATTATTTGCAAAGGCGCGGCGACATGCGTTGCTAGCTCAGGGTCGGCGGTCCGCGTGTACATGTACTTGACGGAATCTTGAAATGGGCTTTTTGCGAAAGACAGAGCGGGGCGGATTCTCACCCCAGTCCACCAACCACCAGCTCCATTCTTAACGACAACAGCTGCGATCGTCTAGACGCCAAATTACTAGCCTAGAAAGCTACCGCTTCGCTAAAAACGACCCCGAATCGTAGATGAGCGCACGTTAGACGACCAGCTCATCACACACCTAAAAGAAGGGTTAGTATTTCCTTATATAATATAACTGCTTCGGTTTGCACAGGTAGATAACGAGGTGGCTCACGAAATGGTTAAGCTAATTTTTTTTGTAGCCGTGAAGATGATGTTTGGCAGTGTAGTACGCACGTCGTTCTTTCATTTGGCCGGTCGGCATGTTGCTCTGCTGGAAAGTAACATCCGTGGCGTAGCGAGCGCTTGGGTAGTTACGGAACGTGTTGCCTCCTAGCACGAGCGCCTCCATCGTGAATTTGCCGGCCGCGGACACCACGTACTTCTCGTAGAGGTACGGGACACAACCTCCGCAAACGAAAGGATCATCTTTTGAAATGTTCCCGTCTTGATGCGGAAGACATTTGCCACCACGGCCCATTTCCCACAGTGCTTAAGGAAGACCAGGAACATGAACAGCACGTCCTTGGGTTGCTGCTTGCTCGTACGACCACGTCCTACATTCCAGTGGTCAGCCACGTGCGCTCGAATAGAATTCCACAAGCGCTCAAATTCCAGCGGCGCAAAGTTTGTCAGAGCGGCAATGTTCTGGGTATCCTCCCGCAGAAATTGGTGGTATATCGGAGACGGCGAGTCGATGTCATCGTTGTCGACATCTAGGCGCACAGAGGATACGCTTTGGCGGTGGGATTGACGGTCAGCGTCGAGCTGAGTGAGAATGGAGACTCCTTCAGCACCTCGGGAGTAGCCGGTTTAGGTCCTGGGGGGTGCTTGTTTGGGAGGGTGTCATGGTGATAGGTGTTGTAGACTGTAAAATGAGAAATGAGGGGCAATCTAGTGGAGTGGTCAATCCACCACCAAGTACCTTATCGTGCGCGCGAGATCGAATGAACAGTGATTCTGGAATCTTCTGTTGAAGTATAGATTTCCTAGTATTATTGGCATACTTTTTGATATTCGTTCATTCGGTGGATTCCTTCGGTGATTTGCATAAATTTCCATTTCCATGTTCAAACTTTGCTCAATCGAAAGTGAAAATGTGGACCACTAAAATGAGGTATTTGATATACTGTAAACCCTGTATTTGTCAGGTTGAAGACAAAGTTTTGCCGGGGGTAATCAATAGACTACTGGTTGGTTAGAATACGTTTCAGGAAATCTGATAATGCCCGTGCGGGGGGTCTATAATAGGGAGGGGTTATTTTAGGGAGGGGGTCCCAGGTTGCTCAAAATTTTAAGGGAAGGCACATGTGCAGGTGCAAGACAAATTGGCGAAGCTGGAGTGATTGATTTCGTGACTAAACCGTCCTCAAAAACTACTTGAGCTTGTTGAGCTTATTTAGTGTACTGTGCGCAATCTGGACTGCTCAACTCAGGGCCCACGGTCAGCAAAATGACAAGCACGACGCTCTGCTGCACCTACAAGTTGAATCACGTATACTTAAGTACTACACAGTTACATGTAATACTTGTTAAATGTAAGGTCCCGTTAGCCACGAATGCTATCACTCCAGTTTCGCTAACTTGTTTTGCACAACGATGCACCGCTCGTCGTTGCGCACGTTTAAGGACATTTTGCAGCACGTAAGTGTGTCTGACTGTGGTAATTATCTCAATATTTTTTGTGAGCCAAGGATTAATGGCCTTTATTTTACAGTAAAACCTATAAATTTTAAAAGATAATACATTAAACTTTTTTTCATTGTGTATTTTGCCAAAACAAGGTGACCTCACCTCGAACTTCGGACCAATCGAACATGAACGTCAAGGCCTACTTCGGTGTAATTCTTGCCGCAGCGATCGCCTTGTCAACCAGTGCGCAGAGGTCCTGCGCGGGGCAGCCGTGCGGCTAATGGAGTCCCAGCGCCAGGCGCATGCTGCAGCAAACCGATTTCGGCGAATGCTGTCGCCAGAGCTGTAACTTTGGTTCACCGTGCAAGGCTTGAGTGAGATGAAGTCTAAGCTTAAGCAATGTTCTGCGAAGCTAACGGGGATCTGTAATGTAATCCGATATTACTTTTTATAACTCCGACATTCCGTATATTAAGAATTTAATGTCAGCATTTTTTGTGCATTTAACTCATACCCCGGGGGCTATTAGGGTCAAAACGATGATGAAGCTTTCACAATATTTTGTTTCGGAGTCCCCTCCAAAATCGTGAAGTTTCCATCAGAGCAGGTCGACGTCTCGTCAGATGCATCGGTCATCGTGGTAATTGTGACTGGTTGATGAGGTTTTGCTGTATTGTCCTTCGAGAAATGTGATCCCAGCTTGACAAATATACCTGACAGCACCGACGCTACAATGAGTGACATTGCCCATACAATGTACCCCGCACCATCGATGACGTTGCCCATTACAGCACTTGAAAGACCGGTCGAGAAATACCCAACAGCGTGCATAATACCGGTGGCCCCAGCAGCGATATCTTGGGGGAGATCCGTGGGCACCGTGTAGCTCAGCAACGTGTAGTTGCCCAGAATAAATACGCTCGAGAGGAACGTGAGAGCTCCTAGTACCGCTACGCTGCACGTCGCACTCACCGAGTAGATGACTCCGAGTACGACAGCCTGCAGAAGTGAAAATATGAAGATTGGCTTGACCCGATTCGACTTAAACACAGCGTCACTGATCCAGCCGCAAAGGATGCCTCCGACGAACCCTCCAATAGTCCAGGCGCCTCCAATGATAGCCGTGTCACTCGATGTTAACGGCGTCGAACGCACATCGTCGAAGAAGGAGAGGAACCAGTTGAGAAAGCCGTCACGAGTCCAGCAGAGGAAAAATAACGCGGCAAGGTATCCAAGAAATGTGTAGTTCTTCAGGAGCTCCTTCATCTGCTGTTGGGGAGTTAGATCCTCCTCTATTACTCCATCTTCACATGACACGCATTGAGGCTCGATCTGGGTCGGAAGACGGTCGGATGAAGTATACTTTGTATCATCAGGTGTGCTCTCCACGAAAGCCATGACGATGACTGACATCACGAGCAGAGCACCACCCGGAATAATGAAGACGTAGGCCCAGCCCAAAGACTCGATAATGCTGCTGCCGGTGCCCAGTGACAAGTAGTATCCGCTCGTCAACATTGTATTGAAAACACCAGCAAACACTCCTCGTTCACTTGCCAGGTACCAAGCCGCGTTGATCTTTACCACAGCGCTCGTACCGAAGCCCTGCATGAGGAAGTTCGCCGCGTAGAAAACAATGAAGAAGATTTGCCTCACAACATGCGACCCGTTGCTGAGAAAGATGACTCCGAGTGCTAGATTGCAGAGTGCTGCTCCGACACACGAAAGGATCATGCCCTTTCTTCCGCCAATATAATCGGTAATTTGCCCCGTGAAAGGAGAGCTGACGGCGTACGCCCAAGACCCTGCAGAGAGAACCCTATGGTCGCGACATTAGCGCATGTCAAACAAACTCTGGTAGATCATCAAGACGTACCAGCCCATGTAGACAGAGGAGAAGCCAAGTTGATTGCGCACCGATGAAACGTTGCCGGCAGCGACGTTATACCGGGCCATATAGAATGCAGCGTAGACAACACCCATGGGAAACCAGTTCAATAATCGTCGCCATCTACTCACACAGAACAGAGAGAATCATGAGCAGCTATCGAGGCCAACAAGGGGGTTACAGGTGCCTTACCGATAGCGTCTAGAGTGCAGCTTCCGTCCCTGCGGACTGAGTTCGACGTCATACACGACGCCGCAGATCACGAACGCGAGTATTAGCAACAAAATCACCACCTGGACATCCATACTGGGAGTTGTTTAACTTGTCCAGCAGGAGTGGAAAAAGAGAATGGTTAAGATCGACAGCCCTGCCTCGAGCGGGGAATTGCATTGAAATGGAGTGTTCTCGTCATGCGATGCTGCAACTTGTATGAGCACTGCTGGCACATGCTCTTTCTGGGCAGAGTCTCCACAGCCACAACTCGTTGAACTGCCTGAAACGATTTCGGAACCCAGCTAATGGTCCAATCAGAGTTTAATCTCTTTTGGAATCCTCGCGAACAGCCAATGACCGGGAAATACCGTTTCGCCAATTGACTTGAACGCTGTTACAAACAAATTATTAATAATAATGATCATTCGTTACGTCCCTTCTTCTTATACAGACAAAAAAAAACTCACAAATGGCTGCAACCTTGGGTTTAGGATCATCCAACACGTCCTTACCTAGTATTTTGCTGTCTAGTGAACCAGGTTTGCGATCGTGAAATACGAGCGATCAATCCGAGCAGTTTTCTTCTGTGCGACACGCACCTTCGCACGCACAGCATCAAATGCATCTTGTTGGTTCATTTGCAGGGAAAAGACAGAAGACCTGAAATAATGGCAAAAAAACGGGTCTAGTATTTTGGTAGCGTACCCAGCGGAGCGTTCACGCTTGCATACAGAAGCGTTAAAAAGCTCCCTATCGCTTCAGTATTACCCTGACGGCCTACTCATTTGAAGTCCGCGGTACAGTAGTCCCTTAACTCCACAGAAACTATTGTATGCGACCGGAAAGACTCCAACAGTGTATTGTTGTATACATGTATACATTTGGAACTAATCATTGCTGGGGATGACTACAGTAAGTACGAATTGACAGCAATGGTTCAGTCATTTTCGATTTTAACGCAATAATGTCGAGTGAGCTGCTGACGTACGAGTTCGTGTGCAAGCTGTCGGAGCTGCCTTCGGGCTCTAAGAAGTGCGTCGAATTGCCGGCGTCGCATCGTAGCGTCATGTTGCTCAACGTACGCGGGCAGGTCTTCTGCATGGACCAAGCCTGCTATCGTGAGTTTCGTGGGGGGGGGAAGAGAGAGCTCCATTCTGGTGGTGATGCAACATACTGAATCTGTCATTTCTTGCAGACCACGGCGGGCCTCTAGTCAATGGCGATATTGAGGAGCTAGGCGGTAAAGTCATCCTCAAATGTCCATGGCACGCCTTCCGTATCGCAGTGGAGACGGGGGAGGGGCTCTACAAGGGCGTGGATATGACCATGACCCCGTCAGGTAAACTACAGCCGTCGTCGCCCAGAGTGAAGTCCAAAGGTGTCAAGCAACGCACCCACTTCGTGGAGATACGCAACGATGGCCAAGATATCTACGTCGCAGACTCGTCTGCTGTTCCAGGTACAAAACTTGTAGACGACACAAAAAATGCGCTTGTATTAAACCTGTTTCTTTGCCTCATTCTGTAGGCGCATCGATGCTCGGATCGGACGTGTACGCTTTCCGCACTGTCGCCATCCCCGAGGCCGCCAAGAAAGGAGAAGTGCGGATCCACTCGCGCTTCGAATAGTCAGTCAGCAATGCCAAGCACAAAAGTCACTTCAGACGACCCCGTCGCGCTTTACCTTCGCGGGCTTCAGAGCAGCGACTTGGTCACGATCCGAGCAGCCTCGGCGCGTACCAAGAGCTTGGGGCGGATGTATGGCTTCTGACTCAGCAACCAGAAGTTGGCGTCCTCCATCGTCACTTGGTTGTCCATCTGTCGTGGTGCGTACCTGGCCGAAATGCTCTCGTTCACACGGCCCTCCACTTTGACGACACCGCTCTTGTCTTGCTGCAACAGACGCTCCTTCAGGTCCTTGACTGCCAGCTCTTCCACGTCCATCTCGGCTTCGTCTCGCTCGTCTTGGTTGAGCTTACTGCGATCCACTTTCTTGCGCTTCTTGGCGCGCTCCCTCTCGATCTGCTCTTCACGCTTGGCGTCCTCCAACAACTGCGAGCGTCGCGCCAGATCTTCTTGTCGCAAGCTCTTGAACGAGTCCTCGCAGCTTACACGCAAGATATCCGTCGCCGTGAGCTCCATGTGAGCTCCGGGTGGTCGGCCATGAGCCTTTTGTAGAGCTTCCAGAGTCTGCGCCTGCGAGTCGCCACGCTGCTTGGAGACCTCCACCATCTCCTCGATCACTTGCTTCAAGTATACGTGCAGCGCGTACGCCATCACGTCGCTGGTCTGGCCGCCAACCTGGACCCCCGACCGTCGGCCGGCCTCGCCGACCTGGGCGCGTAGTTTCTCGGAATTAAATAAGTCCTTCTCCACCCACTCCTCCTTCACACACGGCAGCTGTTCACTCATCCGCACACGACGCACTCCTCCCTCCATCATGATGCGTCGCTCATTGCCCAGCTCGATGTTCGTGTGTGTCAGCACATCAGCTTCCTTGCGGATATCTGCGACACTGGCTTGGGCGAGCTCTTGACTGACCAATTCGGACGCTGCAGCACTCAACGCCGCCACCTCAGCAGCTGTGGCCTTCCCTCGACTCGTGGAGTTCGTCCGTGGCTTCTTTAAGGGAGAACGCGGCGTCGGCGACACAGCCGTGCTGTTGCGCTTTAACGCTGACGGCGACGAGGTCACAGCTGGAGCGGTAGTGGTCACAGTGGGGACGAAGGGCTTGACAGCTGGCGGCGACGCTACTGGGACGGGAACTGGCAGTATCGGCAGGAGTCCGATCTTGCACATGGGGCAGTTGGCAGTGTTATTCTTCGCCACACACGTCTTGTAGTGGCCGTACACTTGCTTGTAGGTCTTGGCACGAGCTGGGGGGTTCGGAGAGCTCATCTGCTTCATGATAGTCTTCGACTCGACGCACTCTTCACCCACAGGACACGCCGCGGTCGTGCACTTCTCCACGTGGAGAATCAACTGCAGCAGTCGACCATACTCTTGCGTCATGTTGGCCGTAACGTTCTTCTGCTGGGGCTTGGCAGCAGCGACAGCGGCAGTCGACGCGTTGGTAGGAGTCGACACGGTGGAAGAAGGTCCGAGCGACGGGCTGTCGGTCCTCGGGAGCGACGCGTTCGACACTTTCCGCTTCAGAGGCGCGTTCTTGGGCGACTTTGTCTTGACGTTTTTCTTGCCTTTCACAGCAGAAGACAGCGGCGTGTTGTCATCGTCGTCGTCACTTCCGACGCCGCGTCTAATGCCCGCGGCTTGCGCTGCCTTCGCCTTGGCTGCCAACGTCGCTTGATTCTGGGCATAACTTCGCCTTAAGCCGTCGCAGAACGGGATCGAACAGTGGTCTGTGATCCCCACGGCGCACTCCTTCGCGTGGTACTTGACCAGTCCTTTCAGCTGCTCGCAATGCGAACACCCGTTCGTCCCTCCACACGACAAGCTGTGCTTGAACACACGACGCACGTCGTCACACTTCTTCACCTGGCACACACCGTGGCCCAGCGAACAGGTCGCTGCGTGCGACAGTAAGCGCTTGGCAAACATGATCTTCTCCAGCGCTTCATTTCTGGACTGGGCGACAGCGTCAAGCGGCGACGTCGTTGTCGTGTTGGGAGCGTTTCCTGTGGCTGCTGCAGGCTCCGGCTTCACTCCGGACATCGCTGGCAGCGTGCTGACTGTCCCGGCTGCCGGCTGAATCGACGTCGGTCTCGTAATCTGGGCGGCAATCGACGCCGGCATCGCTACAGGCGCAGCTGCGAGTGTCGGCGGGGCAGCAGCGATAGGACGAGTGTTCGGCGCTATCGCCGTGACTTTCGGTGACGCAGTGGTCGTCACAGCTGTCCTGGCTGCAAGCGGTCTGCCCATAGATCCCGGAGAGGCTGTCGGAGCTCCTGGTTCCGGTTTAACAGCGCTTAAAGCTCCCTAATATCAAAAGATAACGTTAGAAAAGAGGTGCGCACTGTACCTGTGTGCTAATCGTGTCCTACCGGCGTGCTATTGGTGGGGAAGGTCCGTGTCAGATCCATCTTCTGGATGACGCTGGAGAAGATGGCGTCGCCTGCGATCCGCTTGATAATATCCACGATGGATTTGATGTCGTTGCCGTTGCCCTTACGCATCTCTGAGTGCAACGCCGCGTACTGCTCGACGGGCAACATTTGCTTGAGCAACGCGAACATTTGCTGGAACATTTGCTGGCCCGAGCCGGGCGACTGCTTAGCAGGCGTGGCGGAGGGTACGGCCGGTATAGCGGGCGAAGGAGTAGGCGCTAGAGGCTGTGGCTGTGGGCGGATGGGCGTCGCGCCTGCAGGAGGCGTGATTGGCTTGGATACAGGTGCTAATAGACCTCCCGGTGGCGCTACAGCCGCGGCGAGAGGGACGCCACTGAACGAGCGCATGGAAGCTGTGCGTCGAGGTGTTTCAAGACGAAGAAAGCGTTGTTAGAGACGACAAGAAGCACAAACAGATATATGAGACGCATACGCACGTACTGTTCATGTCGTCTTCATCTCCAGAGTCGTCTCCGCCGAACAGGAGGTCGTCAATGGGCGCGCTCATGATGCACGCGTCAATACCTTGCTTATTCTCCTGGAATAAAATAAGTTTAAATTGTGTCTGCTTTTTTTTACAAAAAAAGAAAAGTACTTTGTTTAAACAGCTTGCCGTGCCTCACCAAAGTATTATTACTCCAATAAAATACTACTATGTTTAGTAGTATTTTAGAGACGATCACATTTTATTATAATATAGAGGAATCACCATAGGGTTTATACCCAATTTAAGGTACAAAGACACGATCGTTAGCCGCAAATTTTTGCCGGCTTGCCCGCCCAACACTGCAATACTGCGTACACCTTCGCCCACCAAGGCTCCACCCACGTCGCGAAACAGGCTATTGAATAAACAGCGACGGCAGATCAGCCGCCACTAAACAAAAAATCCATCATTGCGCCAGGCCCAGCTTGCGTTGTGGGCTCAAGACGTGTTTCAGCTACAGCGCGCTTTATCACAGGCAGCGATTAGAAACATCCTGAAGCACAACCTACTCGAAGTCGTGTCATTGGGAGCTCTGACTGCAAAGTCGCATCGCTCGGTCCGCTTTCCCGAGTTAGACTCAAATTGGGTCGGCTGGCTGGCAAAAATCGCTTTACTATTTCATTTTTAGGACATTTGCCACCACTTATTGTGGGAAAATCAAGCATGTTTTCACTCTAAATCGACCTTGATAGAACGGACAGTCAGTACCTCTAAATAACAATATCCGTCATTTTTGTTTTACTATTCACTAATAAGAGGATAAAGGTCAGTTTATATTAAGTTTGTGTTGCTAACGGTCACTTTCGACCACTTGAATTAAGGGAAATTACAGATGGGGATATCAAAACAGAGTAAAGTAGTACCGTGGTGGTGAAGAAAGATAATACCGGTATGAAGGAGTTTTATGAAAGTATCCGGATGCCATAATATCCGGATGGTTACAGTCATGTGCTATGCACAGGTTACTAACAACCGTATGACTACATGTACCGTGCGTGATCACGTAGATGTTGTTTATTCGAAAGGCCAGGCCTTGCCGAGATTGAGGAGGAAGTAATCATCGTTGATAGGGACCTGAACGCCACCGAAACTCTGGTCGTCGTTGAGCGCCTCCTGGGCTTCGGGGGTTAGCTGGTGCCACAAGACGAGGTTCTGGGCGCCGCCCTCCTTGGTCGTGCTTTCCAGTGCGTTGTCGACGTAGTTGATTTTAACGCTCTTGCCGCTGACCGTACTCGCGTCCGGAGGCACTTGAGAGGAGTATTTGCCAGTCGAGTCAGACGTGGTGACGGCCAAAATGACCTGGTTCGTGACGTTCGGGTTGTTCGTCCACACGATGACATGCTCCCAGTCGGGTGTGACATCGGGGAAGTACCAGGCGTACATGATTGCCCAGACCCTGCCGAACCAGGCGGAGCGACCATAGACTTGCGTGCCCAATTTCGAGCCACGACATGCCGCATCGTCGTCTTTTTGGAGCCCCTTGCTGACCTGGCCGGCTGCGTTCACTGCAGGATACGGGTGGCACCCGTTGACGACGTGGAGCTTGGGCCTGAACTTGATGGCAGCCTTCTCAGTGATCGTAGAATCCGACGGCTGCGCCATCTCGAACGGCTCCACCTTGTCGTACGCGATCGTCGGCTCTTTTGAGGCTGCATCCTTGTTCGGCGACGGCGTTGCCGCCTCTTGGACGGAGTCTTGAATGGTGGGGTCAAGCTGCGCTTCCGGCATCGTCGCCAACGGCGTCTGAACCGCTGTAGTCTCCTTGGTTTTCTGGGCTTCCGCGGCAGCAAGGTAGACGGCGACGACACAGAACAAAGTACTGATCTTCATTAGAAGGCTGGATTCTTTGACGGATCGAGAAGAACGTGGAGAATTGAAAAGTGATCAAAGCTCGGAACAGCGCGGAGCAGAGCAGGCTACTGTATTAATACCTGTACCGGTACACGTGAAAGGGACACACGGATACGGTAGTATTAATACCAACTGGAATGGGCGAACAGCGGGGAATAGTCGAGTCGAATGCTTTTATCCGGCACTGTACATGTTTTAGTGATATTACTTATGATAAATTATTAATAATACTGTACATGAACATTGGTATTCTGCAGTGTTCGGTACATGTATATTTCCCCTGTCAAAATGAGTGCGTTCGTATGATCGCGGGTCACGGCTCGGGAGTCAGATGCTCATCATTGCTTTTCATTCGTTGCAATCTTGTACTGTAACGAACAAGTACCGTACGTGTATTATACCACTGGTACTTAACTGGGTAAGGCTTGCTCAGCAAAGGCCAAGAGCTATTAATAATACCGGTTCTGTTGAATGTATTAATACTGTACTACCTTAAATTTGGTATGTACTGTACAGGGTTAATAATGGCAATGCCAGCATAAATCATATTTTTCCGCCGGACTGGATATCACAGCACCCCAACGGTACATGTAGTAGGTATTAATATAAGGCTGTAAACTATAATAGCGTCCGCGGAGCGGGGGCCCAGAGCGCTAGTACAAGGCTGTAAACAACATGTACATGTATCACGAAAAATTCTAGAGATACCGTAAAAGTGTAGACTCAAAGTGTGTTTTCCGGTATGCCGAAATGTGGGATCGGTAATTCGATCTGAGACATGTATTTCAAATATTCAAAGAAATCGAATTTATAAAAATTTGAGTGCCATTCATTTGTAAGAAGGATTCGCGTGGGGAAGACGGAAACTTGTTCCGTTTGTTAGACTGCTTATACTGATGTGTGACGTGCTGGGGCTATACGGCAGAGTGAACGCGAAGAAGATCCCGATGGGCAGGTGGAGCGGGGTCACATCCTTCTCCAAGGTCGAGATCGTCTATTAAACCTTCGCGCTAGCCACGAGAGCCTCGAGAGAACTAGAGAGCTGCCAAATTCTCAACCGCTCTGGCAAGCGACGCAATCTGCTGCGATAAAGCTAGTGGAGGAAGTTCTGAGCGAAGAGGCCGTGAAGGCTCAGGTACAGCAAATGCGTGCGGAGTACGCAGCAAAGCACGGGCCTTCGAAAATGATGCCAAGGGAGCGGGCTACGGCACCACAGCAACGTCATACGAAATCGACTTAGCCAGCGCGTTTGCCGACAAGGACGTTTCTCCGAGAATGAGGTGGTGGATGGAGTATCGGTGGGCACACTGGGAGAAGAAGATGAAGAAACGCGGCTAAAAAAATTATGTCGTTCGCCAGTTGATGATGTTGCTGCAGCGCGACAGTTTTTCGAGCTGAGTGGCTCGTCATCAGACGAGGGCTCGCCCGTACCTTTTGTCGCCACGCAATTGCCGCTACTTGGAAGCGAACTGAAGTATCTGACGGATAATACGGTGCTGGAAGTCGTATTATCCGTCAGATACTTCAGTCCCCAGATCGGGCCCAATTTGAGAAATCTAAAGACTCACATTTCGAGAAACCCGATGAAGCACAGATCGGGATATGTAAAAGCGCGCATTTCGGGATACCTGATAGCAAACATTTCGAGAATTCAGATGACGTCAATTTAGATTTACCGGAAAACTACGGCAACTGCAGCGACGGTGTTTTGAACGGCTTCCCTTCGAGGTGGAGCTCTTGGAAACAATTTCATGACGGACTTAAATGGTTTAGTGCCGGGACCAACCAGTGTTTTATTATTCGATCGTCACAGACCGTGTAAAAAAGGAATATGCAGATGAATGACGGTATTCGACACTTTCCAATTGCATGGAAGCACTACTTCAAAACGCTAGTGTGTACGCACGGACACAAGCAACGACCACGCGACAAAGGAATCCGAGTCCACAGATCGGTGCGCTACACAGGTTGTACCGCGAAGGTACACGCGCTGTTATCGAGTATGGGAACACGACACTACATTTACGTTCGCAGTTCTGGCATTCACAACCACAACCTGAGTAGCAGCCAATCGAACAATTCAAGATCCCGCGCTACTCGCCACAGTCTCTGACATGCGCGCTGCTGGTTCCTCGCCTAAAGGCATTCTTGCTTGGATCCGCAAACAGACAGGTTATCTACGTAGCGGCTGACTAATTCCACAAATTACTTTATGTTTTTGCGTGTGATTTTATTTACATATAAGGAAGAAAACGAAGCTCAAAGATGTGCATAACATGCTGCAGGAGCTTAGACATACAGCAAAGGGGTCAACTACAGACGTTGAAAGAACCGAAAGTGTGCTACGTGAGTTTACCAAGCAGGACGAGGGGAACACGGCAAAGATATTCGTGGACACCACCAGAGAGGTGGCGGTAGCGGTGGTCTTTCAAACCTCTGGGATGAAAAGACTTTTCGAAGCTTTTCCTGAAGTTGTAATGGTAGGAACAACTCACGACACCAACACGAACGCATACAAGCTTTTCAGCTTCGTTGTGCATGACGGTTTTGGAAAGGTACACTAGTACGCTTCTGCTCCCGTGTCATCACGCAATGTACTACAGGAAGTTAAACGGCAACGAGAGCATTCTTCCACCACTCTCTCTTATTTGTACCCGATGGTTGCGATCCCATCCAGCGAATGACATTACTTTTGGACCAGTCTTGCGAAGAAAATTCGAGTACCACGGCGTGATGGCTAAGAACCACGACAAGAAGCAATTCCCTAGTTCGGCCTCGCTTCCAAAATCCGTCAAGTTTTCAAGTGCAAAGATACTGGGTGAAGAAGTCGTGGCGCTACTAGCGCTCCAGCCAACACCCACGTTTAGTACGGGCATGCAATGGCTTACACTTTTCCGGGACGCCGTTCGAACTGGAACTTTGGAGGATTTCGTCGGAATAACTCTCGCTCCAAACTCGCCAGATGCTGAAACAGAACACGACGAAGCAAAGCCCGCAACGTCAAGCTCCGGGTCCAAAACGAAAGAGCAATCGAACGGAAAGCTCGGAAAACGTAAGTACGCTTTCACTAAGCCAGTGCAAAACAAAAAATGTCAAGAAAGGCCCAGACTAAAATCACGCGTATTCAGCGAAAGATTGGCGTGCGCACCCTGGCAAAATTGTGCAAGGACCAAAAAAGCAAGCCGGCAGTGACTCCCATAATGCTCGACTGTCTACTTTCTGGAAATTATTGCTACAACGCGGTATCGGAGAAACTATTTTTGTTGGATTTACCGGTATGCGAAGTAAAGGGCAATGCCACGATTCGATTTCTCGAGGACAGACAGCGGTTAACAATTGACGATGAGACTCACCGATTACCTGCGGATAAAATAACACACGCGTTGTCAATCCTGCCGCTAACGAACGTCGAGAAGTACGTGGCGGTGTGGGAGGAATACGGAGACATCACCCGAGAACAACTTATGTTCCTAGAGCGATATGGAGACGCAAAAAATCAGATTGAGGATGTTGAACATACACTAGAATGGATTGAGGGACGTAGAATGGAAGGCTACCGCTGTTGAAGATGTTCCTGTCATGTTTTGGGAGCCACTTCAGGAGAGAAGGGTACGTTGACTTCTTGCACACGGTTACTGTTACGAGAAGTTATGCGAGATTGGATACGTGCTGA